GGAGTATTTAGATGAATCATACAGACGGAAACGTAGTCTGTTTGGAGCTCCTAGTACTGGAATCCACATGTGAAAGTGTGTCGGCTTGCAAACCACTGGGATCACTGATCCCAGTGGTTTAAAAAAGAAGACAGTTGCCCAACAAATTCTAGGCAGGAAGTGAGCAGAGTCAAGAATCTTAAAATAACCTCTCCAGAGTCTGAATGTTTAGTTTCCCCCAATTTTCCCTGGCCTGGGAAGGGGTCATGGGAAAACCAAATAAGCAGTGGGGAAGCAGCGAGTGTGTCAGAGGTGGGGCTGGATCAAAGCAGTACACTGGGAAACGCCCAGGAACGCTCCAGTAGGCTAACAAAGAAGGAAAAGTGTTGGAACAGATGATTATAGAGGAAAGAGAACAGCGCTCACCTCTTTAGATCCACAGTAGTGACGTTGAAGACGACTCCTTTCAGCCACAGAATCATGAAGAGTCTCTGGGAGAAGGGGCAGTTCCCAATGCTCTCGCCATCACTTCCTGCCTTCAACAAACACACAAACAGAGGATCAGGATTAACCACCAGAAACATATTCCAGGTACCAGTCCTGAGAACTGAGTACACAAAAGATGGGTGGAAGCATCTCGCATTTAATTACCACTGTCATACAACCCAATCTAGCAGACAAAGATCTAAAAGCACCTATGACTGGTTCCCATGGCCGACAGCACTTTGCTTAATGTTTAGTCCAAAACACAAACAGGTCCTGATAACCTTGATAGAGATTTCAGCTGTACTGCACAACCTGGGCGCTTTGCTGCGCTCACCCACAGGGGCCCGTTTCACACAATGACTCTTTCAGACTCGAGCAGGAGGGAAAGACTGAAGAACAGACTCGCTTGCCTTTAAAGGCGTCTGCACACTTCCCCCTAACATTTGGAGAACCACAGCCTGAGAGCAACAGGAAACTTGTAGAGTGATTAAGGCTCAGATAGCCTTGTGCTTCCTTCTTAGCCAGACTGCACAAAAACAAGGCCGAGTTGTGCGGGGAACGAGATCAATGGAAGTGGTGTGCGCTCCAAATGAATGACGCACACTCATCGTTTAGCGATGGGAAGGAGCGCGGTAAAGACGCTATTTGGATATTAAATTTAATCTGTTTCAAAAAAACAAATCAATAGCAGTTCAGCTTAAGTACTGTAAAACTAGGGAATAATGCAGCAAAT